GGGGTGGGGGTGCCCGGGGCATCGGGGCGGGGGCTGCTGGGCATCAGCGGGGGCACTGGTGTGGAGCTGGGCATCTCTGTGGGGATGGGCATGGACGTGGGCGCCTCTGTGGGCATCTGCGTGGGGATGGATGGGCGTGGACATGGGCATCTCTGTGGGGATGGAGATGGGCACCTCTGTGGGCATCTCCATTGGGATGGATGTGGGGATGGACATGGGCATGGATGTGGGTATCTCCATGTGGATGGACTTAGGGATGGAGATGGGCACCTCTGTGGGCATCTCCGTGGGGATGGAGATGGGCATGGACGTGGGCATCTCTGTCGCCATCTCCATGGGGATGGACGTGGGGATGGAGATCGGCATTTTTGTGGGCATCTCCATGGGGATGGACATGGGGATGGATGTGGGCACCACTGTGGGCATCTCCATGGGGATGGATGTGGGAATACATGTGGGGATGGATGCACATGGGCATCTCTGTGGGCATCTCCGTGGGCATCTACTTGGGCATCTCCATGGACATGGGCACCTCCGTGGGTGTCTCGGTGGGCATGGACATGGGCACGGGGGTGGGCATGGACATGGGCATCTCCATGGGCGTCCCTGTGGGCATCTCCATGGCCATGGGCATCTACTTGGGCATCTCCATGGGCATGGGCACCTCTGTGGGTGTCTCTGTGGGCAGGGACATGGGCACGGGGGTGGTCACCTCCATGGGCATCTCCATGGCCATGGGCATCTACTTGGGCATCTCCGTGGGCATGGGCACCTCCGTGGGTGTCTCTGTGGGCAGGGACATGGGCATGGGGGCGGTCACCTCCATGGGCATGGACATGGGCATCAATATGGGCATCTCCATGGGCATCTCCACCCTCACGGGTGCCACTGGGGGCATCTCTCTGGACATCACCACGGGCACCTCACGCCCACCCCTAAACCCAGGCCCCCCCAGCCCCCAAGAAGGCCATAGCCCCACCATTAGGCTCCAGAGTGAACGCCCCGTCCCCACGCAG